GCTTTGGGAAGCAAAACCATGATGAGATGCACTAGGAACGTGGGAAGTGTATAGACAATAAGAAAGGCTCTTGCTTGTTGAAACCAAAGAGTTGAAGCTAATGTGCATCTTAATTTTTTTATTGGACAGTTTGGCATTGAAGACTTAAAGGCTGAACCCAACCAGACAGCATGCTGGGACGGGATTAGGAATTACCAGGTAAGGAGTGATGATGAAGTGCCAGATGTGGCCCAGCTTGTAAATACCGTGTCACTAATATATTACTTTAGAAACAAGAACACAAGAAATATTTATTTCTGAAGGATAATTTGTTCCCCCAACCACCTGTTGTTCCTGAAGCCTTCCTTGGTGTGCACATTGTCAGTTGGCGTCTGCTGCTGCACTCTGGGAAGAACGTATGCAGCTAGTCACCTTAAAAACTTCTACTGTCAAGCACATTCAGGCTCTGACAAACTGCCCAACTTCTTCCTCTTCCACTCCCTCCCTGCCCTTAGTCTGGTCTCAGAAACAAGCTTACAGTACAAATAAAACAGCAACACTGCCCTGCCCTTCCTTTTAGATTTCCATGCCAAGTCCCAGCCCACATGACTTCAATGCCTCGTCTCTGCCCAGTTTCCCATTTTGGAACTTTTGTGGGTAGGAAATATCTACATACAGCTTCCCTCCCTGATAAAGCAAGCCAACTTGGCTGCCTGTACCATGACAAGCATCTTCAGAGCTCTGTGCTTCCTTCTGGAGGAAAGCAAACAACTGAGTTCCAACAGATTTCCCCCCCCAGTCACCGTGATGCTGCTCTTTAGTTGTTTTGTTGGTTTTTAAACCTGAACTTGGAGTATGAAGCATGTTGGGTCTTTTAGGAAAGTTTGGATGAGTAACTGAAGCATGAGTAGCCCCTGCCATAACACAAGGTAGTTCTATTCTTCCCGTTTTATTCAGTAGTTAATGGGGACAGTTCCTGGTAACCTGTGTAGGATGCTACAAGTTACAGTGATCTCTTGTTTAACTCTTTGACAGGCACGGAATTTCTTGAGGGATATGAAACTTGGGCAAGAAGCATTTTTCTATCACAGCAACTGCAAAGACCCTGGGATTGTTGGAATTGTCAAGGTAAGAGCCTCTTTTCAATCCCATGCATCCATGAAGGAAAAAAAATATCACAGCTGGACTAATGGAAATACCAGTCTGTTAGCCCTAGTCCCATCACAGTGTTAAAGTAGCCTAACTGGAGATGCGACAAGCCTAGGCATCATCAGTTCATAGACAAGCCCTTCATCTTCCCATAGCAGAGAGCGCTAAATTCTGCTGGTGCTATTGTGCAGTGTTTGTAGCCAAGTCAGAGCCCATCTAGCTCATTAGCTCCATACCGAGCACACTAATCAGGAGAGGAAGAGCAGGGTGCTAGAATCCCTGAGCCCTGGTCCTCTGTTTCTTCAGATGTGCTCCTGCAACACACACTTCTCAGGGGAATCCGTAAAGCAGGGTCAGTTGTGTGTGCTTCCTTAGGCAAAATCTTTAAACCTCTTGCTTAGTTTACCCATGTGGAAATAGATCTATGTTCCAGGTTACTTGGACTTTAGAAGGAGCAGATAAGGGAGGGGTAAAGAAGGGCTTTTTATTGGTCCTTCCTCCCCATTGTGGCAGAAAGGGCATCAGCTTATAGTTTTGTCATACTCATTGTTGGCTATTCATTTTAGATTGTGAAAGAGTTTTATCCTGACCACACTCAGTTTGACAAGAAGGATCCTCACTACGATTCGTCCAGCAACAAAGAGAAACCCAAATGGTCCATGGTAATTATGCGCTGTACTTAGTGACACCCTGCTGGTTTTGAATGCCAGGGCAAGCACAGTGGCCTCTGCTGTGTCAGCTCTGGTGCAGACTTGCACCACCCTTCTCCTATGAGAATTCAGTCCAGTTGTTTGCTGTGCTTTGTACCCCAACCTAAAGGGGGCCAGGATTGGTCTCCTGAAATTCACAGCCTTATCTGGAAACTGGATGGTAAAACTTGGTGTCTGAAAACAAAACATGTAGAGCCTCCATGCTGCGGAGTACAGCGGCTGGAGGAAGCAGATTAAATGGTCTAAAGCAGGGGTAGGCAACCCCTGGCATGGGTCCCAGAGAGCGGCACACGTACCTCAGGGTAGATGGCAGAGAAGGGCCATGCCGTAACAAGGATTAGGCCACTTATGCCTCCCCCACTGTCTGCCCCTGGCACACCAGCATCTGACAAGTTGAGGTTGTGGGTGCTTTTGGCACTCTGCCCTAAAACATTGCTGACCCCTGGTCTATAGTCTACATTAGACAGAACGTCCAGTCTAAAGCCTAGAAAGCTGTAGGGCAGGGTTATCTCAAACTCCACACGAGAAGACTAAATCTAAGCTTGAGGGGTGTTCTCTTCTTCTTTCTTCACTCCCTCACTGCCCATCTCTACCCATACCCCAGGTGGACGTCCAGTTTGTACGGATGACTAAACGCTTCATTCCCCTGTCTGAGCTCAAGGCTCACCACCTGGCACACACAGAGTCAGGAGGTCCGCTAAAGAACATGCTGCTCTTCTCCAGGCATAGGCTCTCCATCCAGCCCCTGACAAAAGGTAAGAACATTTTCTTAACACTGGGGTTATTGATGCAACTCCTTCCTGATGAGAGAGCTCTTGTTTAGTCGCTCACAAGCTGTTTGACTTTCCTTCCCCCCCACCCCCCCCCCCCTTACTGCTTCAGCCAGAGGAATTTGAATTCATCCTGAGCCTTGAGGAGGAGAAGCCACGCTAGGCAGACTGACTGCAGCATGGGGTCCCATCGATGCCAAGATGAATGTGTTCCCTTAACTAGAACGCTCCCTCCCAAATTTATCTTCAGACCCAGGCATGAAGAAAGACTGCCTGGCAAACCAAAGCTTGATATATATGCATAATCACTTATTTTGGTGCACAATGCTTTTTAAATAAAACTTTTTTTAAAGTTGAATGCATCTACTTGTCAGTGGTGGGGACAGACTAGCAACTTTACATCTACAGACAGAGCAGAAGGGCTTGACTTGACTAGTGGTTTTTACTGTTCATGGTGCCAAGATGACATGGCTCCCTCTAGTCTTGGAGAAGACCTTTCTGTGTGCCAGATAGACACTGGCCTTTGCAGAACTTTGTACATCTCAAGTCTGCATTGTTGTGACTTGCAAAATGTATGTCCAAAACTGAACATACAGCTGCACCAGCCACCATGGCTCTGAAATGCCCTTTACATGGCCTAAAGCTGGCTATCTACTTTTCCCATCAGTACTTCTGCTGACACACGTAGAGGCACTCAAAACCACTTTTTCTACCCTGCAAAAAGGTGACAGGTAAGTGATCAGTGTATGGAGAAGTAGAAGAGTTCAGTGCTGCAATACAAATCCAGTCAGACAAACTTGTGCACAGCATTTGAAAGCCCAGGATGGCCTTTTAATCAGAGAGACATAAACCAAATTTTAAAATACAGTCATTGAAAAGACAACGAATTAAGAAACATGTAAACATGGCAGAGGCTTAATTACAAGTTGCACTGCTTGGTTTAGTACCTACACACTCCTTGCCCCCTTCCCCCCCCCAGTGCAAATCTCTATCTGGAAGAGGAACAACCAAAGCACCATCTACCACCTCCCCAGCATGGGATTTGCCTAAACACTGCAGTGGTGCCCCTTCTTCTCTCACTTAACTCCCTCTTCTGTAGTGTCTTGTACTGGCCTTGTATGTTAACATTGCTACTCCTGAGAGGCTTCCAGCTTTGTCCTCAGGAGACAGTATCCTGCATGCCCAGCAAAGTGGGCAAACTGGAAAGCAGGTCAAGTGATCAAATCATAAAAAAGTAAAAACAAACTGGGGGGAGGACTCTGAATTCTGGTCCTACAACTAGGGACACAGGTGAGGGCAAAGGAAAGATAGCAGAAAACACACACTTGGTCCATGCATCTTCCCTGACTAAACCCCTCCAACAGTGATGAGCAAACCCCTCTGAAACTCTCCCTGCTAAACCACCCCTCCTACCTAAAAATATACAATCACAACCTGCAACTTCAGACCAAATTTTCACATTCACCAGCAATTGAGTTTCAACAGTAAGTAAACTGCTCACCTAATCCACAACTTCATCCACTGAGCTCTCTCAGCACAATGCATACTACGACCAAGAGAAGCAAGCAAAAAGAGGACTGTTCTGGGGCTGGGCAAAAGTGAGGTAAAGAGGGAGGGTCAGGATTTTAAGTAGCTTAAATTTAAAATAATTGCTGTGCTTGCCTCAGTCTGCTACCCAGAGTGGCTCCCAAAGGGAGTATCACTTGATCCCAACTCATTATGCATTACCACAGCATGCCTTTATCCCTCCCCAGGGGCAGGAGCTCATTAAATTAGTGTCAGAAGGAATGACAAGTTCCTTGGGTACATGAGTCCCAAAGCATGCTGCTGTCTCCTTTCCTGATGTAATAAGGCAGTTGCCTATACAAGTCTCCATTTCAGGCTGAGAAAAGAGACCATAGTTCCAGCCCACGGCACAGACTTCTCACGTAAAGAGGCAGAGTAAGCCACACACCTTCACTACTACAGAGCAGAACATGGCGTGACACTATAGTTCACAGCAGAGAAGAGGCAATTAGTGTACTCTGCAACAGGGCAGGATTCTCCAGCTAGGTTAAGAACCGTAGTCCTACGCATGATGGATGAGTGAAAAATAACTCACTTTGGCAAGCAGAACACACATGTATCACTGAACTACAGCAGCTTTCTTACTACATAAAGATCTCCCCCTCCCACCCAGATCCCACACTCCCCACAACAGGCACCGTGGCACTGTCTGACAAATTGAGGTTGAAGATGCTTTAACTTCCCAGCAGCAAGAAGAAGGTTCTGTATCCAGCCAGCAGACAGTGGCAGAAGAAATTCTAGATTCAAAACCAAGCCAGGCAGAACCCCAATGAGCTACAAAACTACAGGGGAAGTCATCAGTGCAGATCCCATTTGAGGGAACTAATGTCCCAGAATTTAGTTCAGGTTTTCATGTCCTTCTGCTGGAAGACAGCTATAATACCTGCTTCCTGGAAGGGCATCTCAAAAGGATGGCTATTTTCCAAATGCAGTCAATGAAGTTTAAAAAGCCACTTCAAATTTACAGGAGGACTTAATCTCTGCCACAAACTCTCTCACAATGCAACAGCCCTCCGCACCCCATCCTATTTGAGAGCACGAGGCGACCTCTGACATGATCCTCAGCTAGCAGGCCCAAAAGACTCCCACTCATTCTCATCAGACTTCCATCACTCATCTGTGTGGAAGCGGACACTGACCGCTGATTTGTTGTGACCTAATAGATGTAAAGGCCTCTACTTGAACAATGACATCCACACTTGCTAGGAACAGCAACCCCCAGCCCCACAGTTCAAGGGAGCAGACAGCAAGCCTTTCACGTGCAGGTGTTTAAACTTTGCAACCAGCATCCTCACCCTCCTCCACCCACTGTGAAATCTCCTATTCTCTCAACGTGGAAGAGGTTTTGACCTCAGCAAATCCTAAGGCTGAGCTCAGATAAATAAGTCAAAGGGAGAACTAGATGGGAAATGCTCCCACACAAGCAGCTTCCCAGGCAATGGCACCAATTCCTCAACCACTTGCTCTGCAGCACTTTCCCTTGTACAAATGGAGTTGACTGCACTGCTTCCCATTTCAGCGCACACAGCAGTACACGGAATCTGTAGTACTGTGATCTATCGCAGAAAGCACTTCCCAGGACTTAGATGTCCGAGGTTGGCTGTAATACGAGGACTCAATCACACCCAACAGCCTGAGCTTCCAAAAGAGACAATTCCTACTCTGCTTTTTCAGCAATGAGCAGTTTCCCCCCAATTTACTATTCAGCTGCTGCTAGCTCGCATTCCCTCAGCCGCTGCACTACCCAGCATCCACCACCCGTCAGCTGCCTGGGCATTTCGTGTTTGACCTTCCACACCCCCTCAACAACATGCTGTATCCCAGAGCTCCGAAGAGAGGGACACAACACCTGCTGTGCTCCACAAGGCAACGGCTCTGCTCTAGTCACCAGGCTGATTCAACAATCGTTATATACCCGTTTGCAGCAGAGAGTCCAGGAAAAGCGCGAAGGGGAAGAAAAAACAGGGACCGAAGCAATTTATAGCAGGCTAGGCCTTCAGCTGAAACTGCTTCCTTCCCCAATTGCTCATTCGCACCCTTATTATGCAGCTAAAATGCTGCCACACTCCCTCCTCCTCACCACACCAAGACTCCTAGATGGCAGCAAAATTCCACTCCACGACCAAAACCACATGCACAACACGGAGAAGAAATCCCATTTCCCTTCCACGCTCCCCCTTCCCTACTGCCAGGCTGAAGGGGGTGGGAAGTGGGGGATGGGAGGTTTTGTGGCGAAGAGGAAGCCAGCCAGCCCCACGACTCCTGCACATGTAAAAACAGGTGACCCCAGAGGAATGTAGTCAGTTGGGGAGCACTAGGGTATATTCAACTCTGTGCCGTCATTGCTGTAGCTCACGTTGCCCCCTCCCCCACCCTACCCCCATGGTCCTTTGAAGAAAGGAATTAAGTCAAAAACGGATATTTATTGTCGTAAGTCTCTGAAATATCTTCTTTTCCCCTCACTGCTGCCACTGGCTCCAGAATCTCAGGTTCCGCAGCAGCCTCGTTCCATAGGTCTCTCACTGCCGGCTGTTGTTCTCTGCAGGTTGGCTGGGGGTCCTGGCCTCAGCATGGGAGGACGTCCCTTCAAACCGCTGAGAGGCGATGGCTGCCTGGTGGGACATGCTCTTCCTCACGATGTCTCCTTTCCGCCATAGCACCACCTCCTATGGAGCAGAGATAGCAAAACCTGTTAGGATTGTGGTAGCAATGGTGGCTCTACCCAGGAGCTCCTCAGACTTCCAGAGTGACAGAGCAGTAACTTGCATCTATCCCCAGTAAAGGGCATGTCGTGTGCTGGCATATTCCACTCTTGACCCTCCAAGCTGTGAAAAACTATTACAACTCCTAGGAAGGATCCCTCCCAATGCAGGGGAAGGCCAGATGGCAAAACTCCATGCAGAATAGGCCAGGCATATGAGAAGCAACCACTAGATGCTAGCTGTGTCCTAATATACAAGGCAGCACCATCACAGTTAAGGAGAAGGACAGCAGCACGTGGCACAGAGCAAAGAAACGGTAAGAAGAACTCAGGGAGTTGCCTGTAGTAGGCAGCCCGCCCCATTAGGAGCATTCCTTTAACTGGACACAAACACCTATCTGATCTAGTGTCTTCTAATGCATTCTCCACGCCCACCCTAGGCAGGACAGCTCTAGTGAGTACCACATGGAGCGCTGCCCAAAACCAACCTGTTGTGAGTTTTAAAGAACCTTATCTAGATACTATGTTAAAAATTAGATGCAATCCTGCACCATGATGCAGCATCACTTCTGCCTTCTCACCTGCTGTTTGAAGTAGCGCCTTTCCTCTTCATCTATCAGCACCAGGTTGAGGTAATAACGCACCGAGAACTTCTTATTGATGTCCCTCATAGTTGGTGTCAGCTCATAGCCCGCCAAGAAGAGTCTGATTGGAATGGACTCCCCTGCAGAGGGCACCAGCACAATTAGATCAAACAAGAACTCGTTAACTCTTGCAAGCCTTTCCCTCCTATTCTTCCAAAGTGTACTGCTGCTGATACAGGCCAAATGGCTTCATTCCCAGTGTAGTGGTTTGTGTGCTTAGACCTTAGTAGCATTATACCCCCCCTCCTTAACTGTAAGCCCAGGCACCCATCACCTACAACATTACAGCAGCAGGAAAGAGAGAATGGGATGATGCTTGCTATAGCAAGAGATGTGGTGACTCTGGAATAGAGTTACAAATACACTACAAATTAATACCATCAGCAAGGGCCTGGCACAGGGGACTTGTGGCAACAGGACACCACCTCTCAGCTGCACTTAGATTAG